ATGAACCTTATAGCATTGTTACTACACCAAATAAGATAATAGTACATGTGTTATATATAACCTTTACATGTTGTTTGCTAAAAAAGTATTTTTGTGACAGACAATGAAACGCACAGTGTGTTTTCCAACTTGTTTTTGGTGCCAATTAGACTCAAGAGAGATGTACCTTCTCATTTAAACTGTTATAAAACTCCAGCTTTGTAAAATAGACTTCTTTGGGATTTGGGAGGTCAGGCCCTTATTGTAATCCTAAACCTTTTGTAAATCCATTGCCATGTTCTACAACTGAGACCCTGAACAGAAATGGGACATTTTTGGCCAGAATCATAACTTTTTCTGTCAATACTGGTAAGAAAACACCAATGTGTCCATATTAAAATACAAAAATAGGAGTCATCTGACTATAATCTTCCAGGATTTGAGGTTTAAATGATCTGTACATCTATGGATCTAAAACATGAAACACTGACTCTGAGTGCAGAGAGAGAGAGACAGAGAGAGAGACAGAGAGAGAGAGAGACAGAGAGAGAGACAGAGAGAGAGACAGAGAGAGAGACAGAGAGAGAGACAGAGAGAGAGACAGAGAGAGAGAGAACGAGAGAGAGACAGAGAAAGAGAGACAGAGAGAGAGACAGAAAGAGAGAGAGAGAGAGAGAGAGAGAGAGAGAGAGAGAGAGAGAGAGAGAGAGGGAGAGAGAGAGAGAGAGAGAGACAGACAGAGAGAGAGAGAGAGAAAGAGAGAGAACGAGAGAGAGATGTTTTGGTGGCTCCAACACAAACGACCAATCGATCAACCCCAGCAGAACCGGACAGCCACCCCCCCCCCCCCCCCCCCCCCCCCCCCCCCCCCCCCCCCCCCCCCCCCCCCAACCCCCGCTGGGTCCGTGCTGCTCATGCATCACACTTTATGAATTCAATTTCAACCCGGGAGAAATTTTCAATTTGAACGCGCGATCATTACGGCGTGGGGGGATAGCGTAAATTGTTTTTGCTCTATTATGCATTCGGACGCCATCATTTTTCTTTCTAATTACCGAGGTGTCAGAGCGGCCTGTCACCCGGGCGCTGATTTTCAATTTAACTGATCATCATACATTCATTTTCCCATTTGATAAATCTGCTATCTAGACGCAGCCCGCCATGCCCGGAATATTAAGCGGCGCGCGGGCGCAGTAATAGGGGGATGTGTATGCGGCAATGAGCGCGGATCAGCCAGCTAATTTAGCACCTTCCACATTCCCCGTCTGCATCCCCCCCATTGCCAATTCTCAAGAGGAGCCAAGGGGGAAAAAACAGGAGAGGAGAGTCCAATGGCTGCCTTATAACCTCCAAGAGAGGAGGAATAAGAACCCAGAGCATCAGAGAAATAACGTCCTTACGCAATTTAGAAGCAGGATTCATTAACGCTAATTGAGTTCTTCAATACGTGTTATTTTTATTTAATAGAAACAAATTTGCACAATTAATTATAATTTCGAGAAGCTATTATATATAACCCCTCCACCCTTCTCTGGCTCTCCATCACCTCCTCTGCTCCGACACGGGCTGAATTAGCAGCTTTTGTCTTCAGGCTTTACAGGCTTTGATCCGCAGGGCCTGCAGCCAAGAGAGCATCTCACAAACCGTGATACTCACTGGGCCTGAAACCTCTGTCAGACAGCTCTGTGTTATTTAGAGAACATAAAGATCATTTTAAAACTAAAGCCTGCAAGATCATAGTCAGATGACTCAGTTTGCACTGAAAGATGGACACATTTGTTTTTTCTTCCCAAAAGTGACACAAAAAGGTTAGGATTCTCGTTGTTTTGGCATGCACACTGCAACCAACACAATACTAAGAGCAGCTACAATTACATGTAGGTTTGATATAAGCATGTTTCTTAAGCTTATTTGCACAACACTATCATATTTTGGATTATACCTCTTGAATTGAGTTTAGAGTAATATAGAATCATGTTTCTTTTTCCTTTACTGACAAAGGATGCACTTCCCTGATGCAGGTCAAAATGAACACAAGAGAATATAAGCAGTAAATATGATATTTTACATTCTGGTTGAATCTTCCAAGTGCAGATATGTTGCCTCTTAGAAGCCTATGTCCAAAGTTGTTTTAAAGTTAAATAGTAGCCTTTTTATCCCATCGCTATTTCATTATTTGTAAAATCGCCCTTAATCTACTACAAAGGCTGATTATAAAAGCTCGTTGTGTCTCCACACACATATTATAAAAGCCTTGCTGAAGGGAGATCAGACCCATTTTTTCTAATTAATCGCACTCTTGAAACTAACCGATTATAATAAAGCCAGAATAAAAGTAGAAATTTCACACAGTGCACGCGGAATGAAGGATTTAATGTGATTGTTTCGGTCGAAGGGGACGTTTCCCGAGGCCTTATGAGAAAATAATGTCCTTATGAATTAAATAATAGGGTTATTACTTTCATTGATTTTAGCTGTCTGGGAATTTAGTGTTCTGCTTTAACCCATCCTCCTCCTGCTCCTGTCTAATTATTTTTCCTATAAGCCCCCCCTGCTTCCTACAGCGCAAATAGCAGAGTCACTGAGCGAAAATTATGTAAATATTATTAAAGGGACTCAGGCACGGAAATTCATTTTGGGTCGGCGCAGTAAAGCCCTGTCCCTCGGATCCCCCTCAATTTATTTGCAAATAAAGGCGAGGTGACCGGGAGGGATCAGGGATATTTAGCCGGGCTGTCAACACGGACAGAATTAATGGTTTTAATAATTGGGATTTGAGTTTCCAGGGAATTGGTGGAGTTTACTCTTCACGAGCTAAACACACGCTTTCTTAAACGGACGCGCGTTCACGACCAGACAGTGCACGTGTGAGCACAAACACTTAGGAGAGTCCTCTTCTGTCCAAAGCATCCTTAATTCAGCCAATTTCTTATTTATGTGTCTTATAATATCATAATAGCTCTAACGTTTTGCTTACTGCTATTCAAGTATTTGAAAGTATCCAAAGTAACATTGAATTGAAAAGATGAAGGTGTTTCTGAGGTTTTTTTAAGGTCGAAGTGACTTTTGTGGGAAAAGTCATTCTAAACCTTGGGGGAAAAAACACACCTGCAACATTTAGGAGTCTCTTATTATTTCTAAAAACATCCTCAATTACTGTAAGCCCCTTTTTTATACTATTATTTTGGTAACCATAACTTCTCCAGTAGGACTCAGATGAGGGTGTTGCACTTTTTTCTTTTCCTTTTCCTTATGTGATGTTTTGGTGTTGTTGTTTTTTGTTGTTGTTTTGTTTCTTTCCGTTAACGGTCAAGTGGGAAATAAGTGTTTTTTGTGTTTCTCTTTGTATCCTAAGATACTGTTATGTCTGGCTGTGAATACGTTTGGCTGTGAAAAAGAAATATGAAGGACAGACCATCTTTTTTTCTTTTTAAAGGGGCAGGTATAAGATTTGTTTCTTCTCCCTGCTCCTTTTCGCTCAATGGTGTGTTTGTAGAGACATGTTTTGTTGCCAATTATTGTATGTTTTGCGTACCATGAGCGGAACAAATAAAAATGAAATGAAATAACAGCTGACTGGCCATTCAAGTTGAAGAAGACTCAACTCATTGTCATTACGTAGGACAGGTGTGTAACGAAACGGTTTCTCTGCATTTGACCCATCCTATGTTAGAAGCATAGTGCCTTGCTCAGGGACACCTCGGTCTTTCCGGGACTTGAACTGGTGACCTTGACTTCGCCACCACCGCCCTTTATAAGTATTTGACTTATTATTATTCTCTTATACTTCTCTTAACTTAACAGATGTAGGTGTTTATGATGTATAAATAAAAAGGATTAAGGTCTAAGTGGCTTAGCATTATTTAGGAGGAAAACTCACTTTATTTTTAGTTAAATCTCAAAATTCTAAACCTTAAATAAAAACACAAATAGATTTAGTCCTCTTCGGCTATTCAAGTATTTTACTTATTTGTATCTAAAACTTCTATTAGCTTATTATTATTTAATAACCTTTTAGTTTTGACAGGCAGAGTTAATTGAAAATAGTGTTTGGATTGAGGCTTCAGATTTAAGTGATTTAACAAAATGCATTATTTCACTTTAGGGGGAAACTCACTTCATAATTGATTAAATCTTCCACTTGTCATTCACATTCAGGAGTTTAGTCTCCTGTCTCTAAACGTCTTTAATTCAGCCACTTTCCAACTTTATTTAAGTGTGGCTAACTGGCCATTATAAATGCCCTTAAGCTTTTAGTGTTTCTGATCTTTAAATAAATGGATTAAGGTCTAAGTGGCTTAAGAAATATTTAAGGCTTGAACACCTCTACAATCTAATGAAACCAAGTTGAATATCCACTCCATACTTCCTATATAAAGACACTTTAAATGTTCACTTAAAACAAATATGATTACATTTGGCGGTCATTTTTGAGGATGTGACCCAGAGGAAATGCATGATTTCACTTTGAAGGAAAACCCACTTCACTTTTCATTATAAACCTTAAATAAAAACACACATCGGCACATTTAGGAGTCTCTTTCTTATCTCTTTAAACAGCTTTAATTCAGCCAATTTCCCTTTAAAGAAAATCATTACACCTGTGAAGTTTGGCTGACTGGCCATTAATCAATTAACTTTGATATTATTTTGAGAGATACATTACTACTTAGTATTTAGGAACAGTGTTTGTGTATGCATGAATGATCTCACTTTGGAGGAAAATTCCCTTTATATTGACTTTAATCTCCCACTTTTCACTTAAAGCTTGAATAACAACACACTTGCCAATTAAGGGAGTTTCCTCTCATGTCATAAACATCCTAAATGCAACCTCTTTAAACTCGCATTGTGTTTTATTAATGCAATCCTGGCACACCCTCGCCTCTCCTCTCCCTCTCCAATCTGAGAATATTACTTAATGTTAAGGAACAGTGTTTAAGTGTGTATATTTAAAGTGGTTATGGGGAAAATTCACATGATTTTTGTTGCTAAATCTCCCACTTTTCATTCTATACCTTGAATAAAAACACACATCTGCAACATGATCTCTTCTAAACATCTTTAATTCAGCCACTTCCTCTTTCTTTTATTCAGCCAAAAAGTGGTTATAAAAATATTAATGCAAGCCACTCGCCTCCTCTCCCCCTCTCCCTCTCCTATATCTTTATCTGTCTCCCCCTCAGGGACTCACAGTCCTATTAGAACAAATGACGAGGGGCTCGGGCGCTTTTGTGGAAAAAGGCGCACGGCAGACGGGCGCGCGCCTGTCCTATTATGTGCGACACATGATCAATAGGGCGATAACGCAGCAACATCAATATAAGCGACAGAACAATGAGGGATATCATCGAACATCTATCTTAATATAGCCGACTACAAGGGCCGTCTGACAACCGAGGCAGCTCATGAAAATTCCGCCCCACGAATCTCCCCCATCTCCTCCCCCTCAATAGATATGCGCACACACACACTCCCAAACACACACACACACACACACACACACATACACACGATGCAGCTGGTGCGGCTATTATTTTCCCATTTCAATTTGACACCCTCTGCCTTTCATGCTAATTCTATTATTGTAGGAAGTTTATGTGATTCCGTATCACTAGAAATCGGTAATGTCTAATAACCCTTTGGGGCTGAAAGAAGGAGGAGGAGGAGGAGGAGGATGAAGAAAAAAAAACTGCCTCCAGAGCCATGGCAGCCAGTGGGAAAATAATTACTTTCATATCAAAACTCAGCAGGAGGCGCAGGGTCCTTATAGCCCGCAGCCACTAACCTCATTCCAGCTCGGCCTTTCAAATGAATAAATTTGTTAAAGCAATAAATACAAACAGCCAGACGGACTTGAGCCTCCTATACAGAGAAAAAGGAGGATTTATCCGCTGTAACACGACAAAACTCCAAGGTTCTGCCACACAGCAACCCCCACCCCCTTTTCCATATGCTCCTAGAAAAACAGTGATTCAATTTAAACAATAACTTTATTTATCAAAAGTGTTTACATATAAATATCTCGTTTTTTTTACAATATCTGAGGATTTTCGTTGTGTGTGAGATGTTTATTGTCGCCTAGATTTTAATAGGTCACTAAAAAAGAGAAGGAACCTGCTTCTAAAGGCCTACAAATATGAAGACAGCCACTAGCTTCTTAAAAGGGGCGCCATCTGGATTGATCACGTGATGATTAAAAAATAGATGAGAATTAGGTCTCCTGATTCCTGATATGTTTTTCCAAGTGTCTCAGCAGAGCTTTGGGAATGTTTGAATAGTCTGAGCGGTTGTTCCTGGTCCTTTGTTTATGTTTGCGCTCCTTGCAAAGTGTTAGTCCATATCGACATCCTCTCCATCTGTTCCGGGTGTTTCTTGACAGTCTGTGTTTGCCTTGAGACGTTCGGAGAGGGCTGGAGACGCCTCGCTCGCACCCTTCTCTTCGGCACGCAGCTCGGCAGCTTGGCAGCCATTTGTCAAACTCCTCTCCTCGATACTGTCTCTGCACGGAGAGGAGCTGAGCCTGGCCTGAACCTCAATGTTAGGAGAAACAGGGAATCTCGCATTGCTGCTGAGAACTTTCAAACTCCTCTCCTCCTTAATGTCTCTGCCCTGAGCCTCACTGTTAGCCGGAGGAGAAACAGGAAGTCTTGCATTGCTGCAGTCACCTCTGTCTCCAGCCGCTCTATTGCTAATGTGATTGTTGTGCTCTGTATGATCCGAGTGTAGAGGCTTAGAGACAAAGCTGGAGAGGTCAGGACTTCCTTCACTCGGCACAAACATCTGTCCCAGACACGGCGAGGCCTTCAGGGCTGCTTGGGGCACCAGAAAACCCAAGGGCTGATGGGTAATTGGGTAAAGCAAGAAGTGGCCTTTCCCTATGAGAGTCCTCTGACTGGGCAGCGAGGGGAAGTCCAGCTGAGGTTTCCGTCGAGGCGTGACGTCGGAGAGGAGGCTCTCCACGCTGAAAGGGTTTCGTTTCTGCAGGGCGGAGGATCTGGGACCTCCGGGGCTGGAGCTGAGCGTGAAGCTGCCCGGAGAAACCTGCTCCGGTTCCCCTGCGGTTCTTTGGTTTTGGTGGTTCTGTAGTGGGCTGAAGTCGTGTCGTGTTTGGTCACAGCTGGATTCAGTTGGGTGTCCTCGGTCTGCAGATTTGGAGGCAGGCAGGTCGAGGTGAATACTCCCACTGACGCTCGGACACTGCTGCTCGCTGTCGGTGAACTGGGAGACCCCGCTGTCGCTCTCCGAGCCCCCCGGCGTGTGGAAGCTGTCCCCGGACAGGAGTTTGTTCTGCGACTTCAGCAGCTTCCTCTCCTGCTTCCTCTTCTTCTTCTCGGCTCGCTCTCGGTCCCGGCGCTGGATCTCCTCGGGGTCCATGGGCTCTCCGCTGCAGGTGGTGGGGTGGGAGTTGTGAGCAGGCCGACCCGGACCCTTCTTTGTGTTCTCCTTCTTTCTCCATTTAGCTCGGCGGTTTTGGAACCAAACCTGTGCACACAAACACACACATATGAATAAACACAAAGGTGGAAACTCGGCACATGAGAGGATTTTTGTTTGGAAGTAGTTCCTAAGGTCAATCAATATCTGTCAAGCACTAAGGTTCGTAAATTGGTTCAGTTAGTTCTGAAATGAGTTGAAGGAGGGATTAGTCCTGGTTTAGACCTAAATGCTTGTTTTAGCTTCTCAGATTAGATTTCTTTCTACTTTTTTCCCTAACCCTAACCCATAACCAACACATGCCTAACCCTTACCCTTACCCTAACCCTAACCCTAACCCTTACCCTAACCCTAACCCTAAACCTAACCAAGTCTTCACCCTAAAATTATTGATTCCCCTCATGGGGACCTCCATTTTGTCCCCATAAGGGAGGCGAGTCCCGACACGTGACTGTGTAAACAGATTTAGGTCCCCACAAGTATAGGAATGCTAGCCACACATACACACACACATTAAACACACGAAGGTGGATATTTCGCACACAAGAAAAACTGAAACGTTGACTTCAATTAAATGTATTACACATAATTGTATAAGTTTAGTTGAAAGCAATAATATTAACTTGAACCTTATAGTTTGTATTCAAACGTATTGCTTTCAACCAACCTAAAACAAGTATGTCATAAATTGGTTCAGAATATTCATATTTGTTTCGGTAGTTCTGTTGGAACAAGTTCTGAAATGAGTTGATTAATGGATCAATCCAGATAATTAAGTATCAAGAACTTCCGTAATCAATTAATTATTAAGTCACCTACTTAGGAAGATCCCTTTAGCTTTCCTGATTAGATTTATTTTCAGCTAATTTTCCAATGTTTATAAGTAAGTCAAATATATTTCTGCTTTGAAGAGTTAGTTAGAGAAGAAAAGGCTAATTGAAGACATTACCTTGATCTCTGGGGAATTTTGCAGACTAAATAATCATAAAAGCAATGGTTGAGTTAATTGGCAATTAACATAATTGATTCATTGGGACAATGATTAAACATGTTATTAAGCAGGGCACTGATTTAGTTTAGGCTAGTTAACACCTACATTAAGTCTAATATCCCTGCAATAAACACTTCCCATATAAAGGCACTTTAATGTTCATTTTTGGAAATTATTTGATTAAAATTGGTGGTCATTTTTGAGGATCTTGAGTATTTGCGTTAATTTTCTTGGATAAAAGTGTTCCTTATATTTTATATCCTTCAAGAGAATACATCAGTGAAGTAGGCCTCACAGAAAATGTCCCTTCTGGTGTGACAACAACAGACCTCACACCTGCCATGTTGGAGTGATAAATCAGTGTCAGAGTGGTTATCAGATGCTAAGCACAAAAGCATATTGCCTCCAAATCCAAAACATATTCCACAAAGCCCTGAAACAAAGTGAAATCAGTGTTCATTCTGCATGTGTTTATTGGTTTACTGCAGCTCTAAAGCGTACATTAGGTTAATAGGTCACAGCGGAGGACCAGCAGATGCACAGATGTGCCACCGTTAATTACCAGTGAGGCTGTAATGGGAAACCCTGCCAATTACATTTAATTGTACCGTATCAGCCGTCTCTGTATGTTCTCCAGTGCGGGAAAGTAACTAAGTAGCCTACATACTCAAGCACTGTACTTAAGTACACATTTGAGGTGCACTGAAAAACTGAAACGTTGACTTTAATTAAATGTGTAATTTCAACAGATTTCAATAACTGTATTAGGTTGGTTAAAAGCAATAATATGAAATTGAACATTTTTCTATTGCTTTCAACTAACCTTATACAGTTATGTGTAATTTGTTGACATAATACACTTATTTAAAAGTCAACGTTTCAGTTTTTTAAGTAGTTGTACTTTACAAGCACTTTCATTTTATACATACTTCTACTCTACTACATTTGGATGCCAATGTTGTACTTTTTCCTCCACCATATTTATTTTAAAGATGTATTTAGTTAACTCAGATTTTGACACACAATAGGAAAAGCTTTTCTAATTATGATTATTTGGTTAGATTAAACCATCCACCATTATATCCAAGTATAACTAAAACCATGAGTTGGTTAATTCATTGTAAGCTAAATATTTCTTATTTTCTTAAATGTCAAGATTTGGTGCTATAGCTTTAAAAAAAAATATATATATTAAAATATGTTAAGCAGTAACTTTTACTCCGAATACTTTGAGTACAATTTCCTATTCGAACTTAAATACTTTTACTATACCATTCTCGATGCAGTATGGCTTGTACTTGACATTTAGGGTTGTTTTTTTGTTGGTATTAGTAGGCTACTTTTACTCAAGAATCTGAATGCTTTTTCCACCATTGATGTTCCAGCACCTCAGCTCATTGGGCTTTACAACCCCCGACTCTCCTCCCTCCGCAGCGGGCCAACAGAGGCAGCTTCCCCCGCCTCAGAGGCTCTCTGCCCGGCCTCTGGGTGCGCTCAGGGCCGCGTGTTCGGAGCTGATAACGCCGGGAGTTTAGCATGCAGAATCCGCGATCATTGCATAATAAGGACGGGGACACACCAACATCATGTGCGACAATGGCGCTTCTTACGAATTGTTAATGTTGGTTATATCTTTCCCCCGCAAACCTGGTGATAAAGGAGCGCTAAGCAGCTTGAGGGAACAATAATCTGAGGTTTAGGAGCGAAATCCCCAAACAACACGCACACTGCAACCGAGAGCTGCTCTGTACCGCTTTCACAAGAGACAGGCGTGCAGGCGAATATATGTGGATCATTTAGAAATACATGAGAATATGTTAAATTAAGTAGCCTATATCATAGCCCATGCTTCTATGCTTAGCAAATAATAGGCCTACTTGAAAAATGTCTTTCTGATATAATAATATTTTTATTTTATTACAATTATTATTATTATTAAAATAAATAAATGGACATCTAATTCTGAAATGTGAAAGATGGGTACTGTATAACTTTTTATTAAAATATCTTTATTTTCTTGCTCTAAAATAATTGATTCAAGACATATTCAACTCATATTGTTAATGGTAATTATCATTATCATGCTTTTTTGTAATTCATTATTGGTATATTGCTAATTATTATCATGAGTTATTATGATTATCACCAGCTGTTAACATTTTTTAAATATTGTTAATATTTCTATATAACTTAATCGTGCTTTTACTTTCACTGTATTTTGCATTTATTGATAATGAAAAGAAATAAAAATGATAATAATGATAAAAAGAAAATAATAAATTAGCCTAACCTGTTAAATTGAAATACCTAAATGTGCAAAAATAGATTAAAAACAAGGGTAACATTGTAAATAAACTGTTAAATGAATAAATATAATATATAAGGTAAAAGAACAATACCATGTTCACCCTTGCTCAGTAAATAGCCTTGTTTTTATTAACCCATAAATCAATAGGTTGCCTCCATGCATAATTCAAAAGTGACCCTGTATTGATGCCTTCGTAATTGACAAATAGCTATCTCAGTAGGGGGTAGGCCTTCATTAAACAAACGTCCCTCTGACATTTGACATGTTATGCATATTTTAACACGGAAGTTATACTGCAATTTTAACAATAACTCCAAACTATTTTTTCCTCCATCTTTCAAAAAATAATAATAATTCTCTTCAACATATTTGATTAATTTATTATTTACCTGAACCCTAGACTCCACGAGGTCCAGCCTGAGCGCGAGCGCCTCCCGCATGAACACATCCGGGTAATGACTCTCGTTGAAAGCCTTCTCGAGCTCCTCCAGCTGCCACCCCGTGAAATTTGTCCTCGTTCGTCTCCGTTTACAACCTGGACTGTCCTTATCCGGGTCCCCAGAATCTGCAGGGGTCGAGGTGAGTGTGTGTTTGTACAAGTGTGTGTTTATTTATGTGCGTGTGTGTATGTGTGTGTGTGTGTGTGTGTGTGTGTGTGTGTGTGTGTGTGTGTGTGTGTGTGTGTGTGTGTGTGTGTGTGTGTGTGTGTGTGTGTGTGGTGTGTGTGGGAGAGAGAGAGAGAGAGAGAGAGAGAGAGAGAGAGAGAGAGAGAGAGAGAGAGAGAGAGAGAGAGAGAGTAGAGTGAGGGGACTGTCATAGCTTGGCTTTTAAAGCATCATTTTTGTTGTAAGGCTGTAAGACTCTTTTAAACATGTTATATTTTGACTCTAATGAGTGCCACAAATGCAAGGCCCAAAGCTAACACACTTTAATTTGTTATATTAAAACACATTTCACATAATTGCAAAATTAAGTTTGACATATTAAAGAATCTGCAGCCAATTAGAATTTTACGAGATGAATTATAAATCGTTGCCTTTATTTGAACCCCCAGTGCAGTCAAGTTATTGAACAAATACATTGAGCTTGCACATACATTTTTTAATGATTAACTTTTAAATCACCAAACTTCAAAACTTTGAAACAACCTGATTGTCATAGACTGACTTTGTAGTTCTTAAAGCTTTCATTGGAGCCTAAACAATGTTTGATTTTGCATTTAAATTCAACAAAAAACGGACTTATTTCGCCTTAAAACAGGCCAGTTTCATGTTATATTACATTGCATTGTTTCCACATCTATAACACATGAGATAAAAAAAGAGCCAGGCATAGAGCTTGCGCATACAAATGAGCTTGGACATAAACTTGAAAAAATATATATTTTCTAAATCACCAAGCTCTAAAACTTTGAAACAACATAATTGTCTACAGACTGACTCCAGTTCAAACAGCTTTGCTCAAAGCCTAACACATTATGGTCTGCACAAATCTGACTTATTTCGCCTTTATTTAAAAATATCATGAGCGTGCCTTTTATCTAATAGTGTTTTATTTTTCTATCTTTACTTTTGCTTTACAATGTAAATTCCCCCTCTGTGGGAAATATAAAGGAATTCGGATTCGTAAAACAGACCTTTTACATTCACCCACTTTATATTGACTTGCTTTGTTTCCGCATGGGTCTACTTGTTATAACCTACTAATAATACGAGACGGGACAAAAAAGAGCCAGGCCTACCTGAGAGTTTGAACTGCCCTCCGTCGGGCGACAGCAGCGGGTTGTTGACCACCGAGGCCGAGCAGGATCCGTTCAGTAATCCGTCTATAGAGAAGGGGTTGGCGGCCGCGGACTGCAGCTGGTGTCCCCCCGCGAGCTCGTACAGGGAGTGGTGGTGGTGGTGGTGATGGGCACCGAGCGAGTACGGGAAGCCCACCAATCCGCCCAAGGAGCCTCCGAACTGGGCGTGAGGATGCTCGAGTACCCGGCTGTCCATGCCGAAGTGAAGACGCGGAGAGGAGGGGAGGCAGTGTGGCTGAACATGCAGTCAGAAGAAAGTGAGGAAGAGGAGGAAGAGGAGGGAAAGAAGGACCGTTTTCCTGCAGCCACGGCACGGTGTGTTCAGGGACCGGGATGTAAAGTGTGTGTGCAGAGACCGGGATGTTAGTGTGTGTGCAGACACCGGGATGTTAGTGTGTGTGAGACCGGGATTTTAGTGTGTGTGAGCAGGAGCTGTTTCACGTTTACGGTCCAGCCAAGAGATGTCAACCCTGCTCCTTTCTCTCCAATAAGAAACGCTAATCGCCCCGTGACGTCAGAGGCGCGGTTAATGGAGAGAAGGCAGAGCACGAGGAATGAATAGGAAAAGAGAGAGAGGTTGTTTTTTTCTTATTCCCGGATCGATGGCTAATTACACTTGGCGTAGTCCTTTAATTCAGCCCTGTCAAAACAATGAGGCGCGTGGACATTGTCGCGTGATTGATAAGCCCACTCCATTATTTCTCAGGGATATCACCTTTATTTAAAGCCTGTTTATAACCCTCCTGTCGTGTTAGTTTCTCCCTCCTTACTTTGGTGGCGCGGTCTGTTTGCACTGCTCTTACTTTAACACAAAAATAGAAATCACCACATTTTATTTAACACATTTTTAAGCTTTAAACAATGTAATAACTGTGAATAGCTGCAGTAAATATACGAAGAATAGACACTGAAAATGTTTTCAAAAATTAACGATTTGTGGGTGTTAGCTACAAAGTTAACTAAACCACTCAAAATGCATTTAAATTAGCAGCAATTGTATATTCTACTGTGGAGGATATCATAGGCGTTGAGGCAATCAAATGTAAAACACTATATTAATTATGATTGATGAAAGTAAATTGGTCAGATTTGACCCGAACAAGACAGCATGGGTTAGACTAGGTAAATTAATCTTTCCTTCTCCATTTCTCTTTTCTTACTCATGCGTGCAGTTGCGCTCCCGCATGTGTGCGTGTTAGTGTGTTTTTGAGTGTGTGTGTGTGTGTGTGTGTGTGTGTGTGTGTGTGTGTGTGTGTGTGTGTGTGTGTGTGTGTGTGTGTGTGTGTGTGTGTGTGTGTGTGTAAGTGTTTTACAGGGGCATTCAGGGCCAGATTGATCCAATAACATCGCCTTTATCATCCCCCCCTTTTTCCTGAGCTGTCACATTGCATTTTAGACTACAAGCCTCTCTCCATCTCCCAGGCACGCGCGCACGCACACACGCGCGCGCACGCACACGCACACATATACATACCCGTATCATTATCTGGATTTTTCACCTGAGCAGCTCACAGTTTAGTTGTTAATGACGAACAAAGTGGTTTGTAGCAACATGATGTGACGTTTCCCAGAATCCAATACCTGCACACAGGCAGCATGCATCGTTACAGGACAGGTTTTAAATGCCATTTATTTTTGCATGAGTTTATTAACAGGCTCGTTTTGTACGTTTGAGTTCACCATGTGTGCATGAACCATTTGCAACTACAGCCTTTTTGCTGATTTCTTCAAACAAGAGGATACAAAAATGAAACAAGAGCAATCTAAGACGTGTTCATCATATCAGCCTGATATTGAAATTACAGCACAATTGCAAACAAACATAAGACAAATGACAATACACCTTTTTTGTAAGCATTACATTAACATTTAGAAGCTATTCAATTTTACGCTGGATACTGATTATGATAATTTATGATCATGTAATTGGCAGAACAACATCACATCAATGTATGCTAGCTTTTCTGAAGCTTTAATTCAAATCAAATGGCAACTATATGGACAAACTCCATATGCTGATGAAGAATATGTGAGCTTACATTGCATCACATTTCTTTAGCTGATATCCAAAGAGTGTTACAGTAAGCTCAACATGCAAGAAACCAACTAAAATGCAATAATCCTGTACATTAGCTTTCAAACCTGTGTACATATGATCACAAATATTGACAATATCTGAAATAGCTACTATGCATCTTGAGGGAAGATTGTTTTGTCGTCTCCTGTCTCTCTAAGGTTAATAAACACCTTTTAAACTCGGTTAGCTATAAGAGAAACTCAAAATAAATGGATACCCAGTTAATTGCTGCACTAAATTCTGTCCCCCACGTTAAAGTCATTGGCCTCTTCTTCCACCAATCGATGACAGTATAGAGCAGTGTACTTTTTAAACCCTAATAAACAATATTCATTTTTCATGTTGATAAATACCTTTATTATTTTACTATGCTACACATTAAATTATTGATTTTGGCAATTGATATAGGATTCAACCTGCAGCCGCTTTATTGAATCCATTTCTTTAGATTCAATCAGTTAAAGGTTTGTTTTGTAGGTTATGTGTCTTTTACACAAAAAAAACTACATACAAATAAGCAAAGTAATTTATCCAGATAATGTTTGCCCTGGTGTTAAATCTTATAGCGAGATGATGACTGTTCACATATATAATTCGGGCATTATTGATATTGTATTTGCAAATACTGAAATTCCCACCATACTGCATGCTTGGCATTCAGTCTGCACCTTAAAAAGGCCATTTGTTTTTTAAATAACTGTACTTAAACACAATTAATACATAAAAACAACTTGGACTACAGTTAAAGGTTTTCAAATATAACATCTCAAAGTCACAAACGTCTTATTTCCATACCTATTTAAATCACAAGCTCTCTTGGACTTGATTCAAATGAAAATGATGAGGTTGAATTATTTGAGCGCACTTACACTCAATACTGTATCAAACATGGATGTCATACAATACATATACCCCATATAATTGGACATATGAGATAATACAGTAAAAACAGTAAAAACAGGTTCTCTTTCTGTCATGTACATGATGGGGTTTCTATTTGGTTACTAAGCTGATTATTTCCTCAGTTTTCCACCATTATCAGTCGCTTAACGATCTCCTTTTGTGTAACACCCTCCACACAATGGACACAAAGCCTTAAATGGCACAGTGGCTAACAAATGGCAATAGAAAAACACAAATACTGCTAATGGAGTTAGTGTGCCCTGGTGGTATAAAGTCAACCTCCATTATATTGCTCCACCATGTGCAGTTTAGGAAGTCTTTCAACCAGCAGTCAGCGTGTGCAGGGCGTTGGTCATACCCAGCAGAACAAGCATGAAATTAGACTTCTTTCTCTCTTTCTCTTTGCCTGCTCTGACTCCCAAAATAGACACTCTAATAAAAAAGTATCCGGCGTAATAATCTCTGAGAAAGGACACAAAAATCTCGCCTATAGCAAGCAGGGCCAATTTGAAAGACCTTTTAAAGATAGTGTTGAATAATTTGATCCCGGGTCCATACATCTGTGCGACACTGAGTTTCTGTTGGTTTTTTAAGAAGCTATGTAATAACAATTTCAGGGGTAATGCCTTTTTTACTTTTCCATCAATCTTGGACATTCTTGTAGGAAATGTAAATCACTAATACAATTCAAGTTAGAGTATACTTTATTGTTAATAAAAAGACAGTATCACTTCTTGTAATTTTTATAAATAAACACCTGCTGAAAAACTTTTAAGTAGCAAACAAACCATATCATTAACTGTTCATAATACAAAAAACAGGGGGGGTGGGGAGTGTGGGAGAGAAACTCCCTCTTTAGGGAACTTTGGGATTTTAGCCTTTGCAGACCATTTACATGCACTAAAACCTATATAACACACTACAGGAAAGGGGAACCCCAAGAAAGCATAATACGGCCTCTTTAAGTTATTCCATGTAATGAAAATATAATTTTTTGTTGGTTCTCTTTCAGCTAACATTTTTATTTTAAACAATGGACATTTATTTTTGCAATCACAAACAAAGACATTTGATGCAAACTGAATACAACATGTTGAAATGTTGATCAAAAGGGTGTCTGTCTGGGTGTGAAGTAAAAAAATGATTACTCCAATTAAAATGTGAAGTTATCCTATCGAGTTGAGGGTCTTGTCTAATGCAGGGGAAATGGTGCTCGAATTGAAGTGTGCGTTGGAAAATGAAAGGTTTGGAAATTCACAATCATGGCAGAGGCCAGGAGCAACTGAGTGTCCAGGTGGACATCTTTGGGGGGGAAAACGGGGGGAGGGAGGGGGGGAGAGAGAGGGAGGGAGGGAGGGAGATTATACATATAAATTGTAAACGGTGTCGCAGGGGCCAAATCTTGCCCGAGGCGGTGACTGCTTCATTTTGTGTTAAATTTCTTGACAGAGAGCCACCCGCGTGCTGGTGAATACTGAATGGTAATCAGAGCTGGTTGAATAAGTGCCTCCCCCCTCTCTCTTCCATTACTGTGAATTAATTCGACTTTATTTATCCAATTTCTGGAGCTGACAGAATGTTAATTTGAGCTGAGATTTCTCTCTGCTGTTCTCCCCGTGACCCCGTAGCCCTGGGATTGGCGTGTTGTAATAACCTGAATCTTTCACCAGAAGCTCCGATAATTGTTACCTTATTAGCATGTAAATTGTTTAATTAATATTATTATGGAGAACCATATAATCCCTCCGTTACTTGACCCTGAGTCCACACATGAACAGGCTTTCTGCATTTCAATGTCTAGTTTTTTTTAAATGGACTCTTTAATGTTGGGGCTGTTATAAACCCCTTGTTCCCCAATCTCAGAGCAACTTTGAACGGCTTGAGAGGGGCTTTTGATGTCCCCCCGTCTCTATATCTCTCTTCTGCTCTCTCCATTCCATTTTTATTTCTTTGCTGCTCTTTCTGATGTGTATTTATATTGCCATTTTTGAACATCAAAATCCGACGCCTTCTTGTCATTTGCTCATAAAAGCTCTTTTTTTTATTTCAAGCCCCCCTCCTCTTTCACTTCCCAGCCAAACACATGCAGTGCTCAATGAAAAGCAGCCCTTGACATGAGGTCCTAAGAGACCGCAGCATTTAAATTCGCTTTTCTTCCTTCCTCCTCCTTTTTCGCCGGGCACGAGTGACATTGTCAGATGTTAGCTTTAATTAATTTGATAATAAGATGGGCGACTCACACACAAGCCAGGGTTGGGTTGCCTTGCCTCAAGCCTTACTCCCCCCTCTCATCTCTCTATGCAGACAACACAACCAAACCCACTTAACCAGAAAAAAAGACTGTGCTGAAGTCTGCCCAGCTATATGCTCACAGTACTTCAATGCAACACACCCTGTATATCCAGTGATCCTCCTGGGATAACACATACTGTACAACAACTCCAAGATGAAAACAACCT